TTCAATGCCCTTTCCTGCCAGCTCCCTGCCAGTTAGAGCTCCACAGACCCAGCCTTTAAGAAACTCTAGGAACCTCTAACTAGCAAGTAGCATCAGAAGGATCCTTGGCCCTGGGGAGTAGGACAGAAAATGTAAAGTGTCTATACTCCTTTACTCCCCTGCCCCCAGGCTGAAAACACTTGCCTGCCATCCCTGCATCATACATCACACTGAGTCAGGGAGACCCATCCGTGGAATCCCACTGGAGGCCCCCAGGGGGTGCCAGAAGATGAGTCATTTTCCATTTGCCATTGGGTTCGCCGTTGGGTACTGTTTTAGAACCCAAAAGGGCCTCTGAGGATACTACTTCGACCCCTCGTTTTACAGAGAAGGGAATTGAGGCCTGGAAAAGTCAGATGATTTGCCCAAGGTCACCCAGGAAGCAGCAGGGCTCCTGACTCCAAATCCCCTCAACTTTTGAATATCTAACCATCTGCATTCTAGGAATGGGCGTGGGGGGCTTTTAGGAGGGGTGGGACCCCCGAAGGCACACCAGACAGGTCCAGTCATCCCAATGCGGGCTTAGCTGAGCCTGAGAGCCCGGGCACCTCAGGGGTGCAGAAAGGGAGGGGGAGGGGCTGCTCATCCTCCTCTCCATCTTCAATACACAGAGTACCAGGGAAAGGAAGGTGAACTTCAACTACATCATGGCCAGGAGAGGTGTCTCTGGGTCAGTCTTGGAAGCCTTTAGCATATTCTCCTAGTGGGAAAATGTGTCCCCAGTTTTGGGAATGCTGCCAGCAGGTTCCAGCTAGAGGAAATGAAGGTGGTCCTTTGACCTGGAGAAAAGTCTGGGATGGGGGGGGCAGTCATCCAGTTCTGCTTGGCCCCAGGGGGAAGAGCTCCAAGCAATGGGAGGTGGGGGAGTCTGTGGAGATAGATTCCAACTTGGTGTAAGAAAAGACTTCGTTCTAATGAGAGCTGTCCAAAAGTGGATAGAGACTCATCCCAGGGAGACCACAGTTCCAATGTGGGTATAGTTATGTGCTGCTTAGTTTTGCCTGACTGCCTTGTCTCTCCCTTTTCATTCATTGTTTCAAGGGATGGCTTTCTGGGGTAAAGATGGAGGGAGGGAGGGAGGGAGGGAGGGAGGGAGTATAGCCTACCATTTTACAGAGATGGAAATTGTTGTGTCCCTTTTCAGTCATGTCTGACGCTTTGTGACCTTGTTTGGGGATTTCTTGGCAAAGATACTGGAGTGCTTTGCCATTTCCTTCTCCAGCTAATTTTAGAGGAGGAAACTGAGGCAACAGGGTTAAGTGACTTGCCTAGGATCACACAGCTGGTAAGATGTCTGAGGCTGGATTTGAACTCATGGAGATGAATCTTCCTGACTCCATGCTAGGCACCCCATCCACAGAGCCACCCAGCTGTCCCACAGAAGTGGAAACTGAGACCCAAATTAGAGACATGACCTGCTGCCGTACACATGAGGAGCAAGTGGAAGGGGTGGGGTTCTTCTAACTCCCATCTGGGCCAACTTCCACCATGGGAAGACCATCAGACAAGAGTCAGGACACTCGAGTTCTTGGTCCAAGAGCTACCCTAATCCGTGTGACCTTGGCCAAATCACTCGGCTTGTTGGGGCTTAGATTCCTCAGAGATGATCTCTGTTCTAGAAAAAGGCTCTGTACAAAACAACATGATGGTAGGAGGGAGGGCCCTTTGGGAGTGTTATTCTGCAACCCCTATTTGGTGGGGGGTAAAAGACAAGAAAGAGTCTGATGAATTATAACCACGTATTTATTTTTCTTTCACAAAACAGGATAGAAGGAAAGAATAATAATAATAATAAACCACCCTTCATTCTCTTCCCAAGTTCTCTGGAATGCCTGCCTGGAATGTTCTTTGCATTGCAAAGAAAAGGAGGGTCCTGGAGAGGCTGGTCTGGCACGGGAGCTAGCAGAATGAATTTTCTTTCCTGGGGTCAGCAGCTCGGAAAACCAATCACTTTGCTTTTAGATGAAGCCAGTGTGCCAGCCCTTGGGGCCAGTGACCACTCACTGTGTGTCATGAGGGCTGAAGGGATGGGTGGGACCCCCTGAAAACACGGCGCAAGGCAGCAACACCAGGCCCCCAGGAAACCCACCAGAGATGGCAAATAAGGCACATGGCAGGCTTTCTGAGTTCTGGGTTCGAGGTTGACTTCTTGCTAGAAATCTATAAATACCTTGTTCTTGGAAAATACCATTAAAAATCTTATATACACTATAAAATTGGATCTCAAAATAGCTTAATACCTAAAAACATTCTGTAGAAACACCTGTTAATAGACAACACCACATTGAATTTTTGACCCACCTTAAGATATCATTCTTTGAAACTGTGCCATAAACCCAACTACCTCTATGATTTCTAAGCACATATGTAAATGTTTGCATGTCTAGATAGAGGCACCTGTGTGTGTATGTGTGTGTGTGTGTGTGTGTGTGTGTGTGCATACATCCCTCCCCACCATCCTCATCTGGAGGAAGTTCTGACTGGCTAGGCAGGTCCAGACCTAAATTAACTCTCCTGTGACACAGGAAAGGAAACCTCAATTTAGAAAACAACACAAAGAACCAGGGACCACAGTGGAAAAGGCTAAAGATAAGGACGGTTTTGATCCGACCGTGTTACACGTGATGCAGATTTCAAAAACAAACCACGATAGAGCTCCACAGAGGAGATCCTCAGGTTCCTGGCAGGCCCCCTTTTCTTGTATGTGGGAAATGTTTGTGTTTGCTGATAATTACCAAATTCCTTCTTAGAAAATGCATTTTTGAAAGGCCCTAGTGGTTTGGCTGGGGTGTCTACTGCTTGCCAAACAATTTCTACATCTGATCATTAAGAGAGGCTTTCAGGGGAAGGCCTAAGTCTCCCAGTTTCTTTTCTTCCATGGGGAAAGGCCTTTAGATGAGATCTCCATCAGCTGTCACAAGTCACTTTGCTTCCCCTGGCCTCAGTTTCCTCCTTTGTAAAATGAGGCTGAACTAAATGGCCTCGGAGCTCCCATCCAGCTCCAGCTCTCAGGTCTTAAGATCCTAAGTTAGGTTTTAAAATGAGGGTCGGGGTTCCTGTCCTTCCAAAATAGAAGAGTAGCCTGTGATTTAGGAGACCAGAAGCTCATGGTTTCCTCTCCCTCTCCACCCACCAATTAAGGAATCAAGAAACGTGGGGCCCCCAGAACAGGAACTGCAAGTCCAAGTTGCTCTTTCTGAATGTTCCCTGGGCCCTCTAGGGCAGTGCATGCCCCACAGGCCTCCAGGACTCAGCACCACACTCACTACCCCCCATCCCCAAGGCTGAAGACTCTAGAAGTGCATCTCTTCTTCCATGAAGAAAGGCACTGACCTGGGGAGTAGCAACTTACCCCTACTGCAGAAACTGAGCCCCTATTCTTGCCCCCAAAGGCCTACTTGGAATGGGCCTGGATGCTAGGCTCGGCTAACTTCAGAGACTCTCGTGTTTTTATTTCATTCCTTGGCCCAGGTTTTCTGATCACTGCACCCCTGACCAGGCATGGCGCCAGCATCTGTGTGTACCCTCACTTTGCTACGAGACAGGAATGTGGTTGCTGTTACTAGTGTTGACATGTAGTCATTTAAAACAACCCCGATGTACAGAGCCAAACAGATGGAAATACTTTAAAAATGGGAGTAAGGAAAGCAGAAATATACCTCAAAATGTTTCCAAAAGAAACAGGGTGAGAGGTACACCCTCCAAAGAGGCCTAGCTGCTTTTGGCTAGGACAGACAGCTGAGGAGCAGTTTTGCCTTTTCCCGTTACTTGCTTTTCCCCTCCTCGTCATTCAAAGAAGGCAGAAATGAAGGCTTTGGGCGGCAGGCGAACAAGAGAAAATCCTAACCAAAGCAAAGCCATGGATTTGGCCCAGAGGAGGGGCAGCAAGTAAAGTCTGGCAAATCCCAGGCGTCCTGTGCCTCCCACCCCAAGCTAGGCTGCTGGATGTCTGAACTCTCCAGGAGGAGGAGCCTGTAAGTTTGTTTGCTTCAGATCCTCCCCACCCCACTCCTCCCCTCTCCACTTTGACAGGGATAGCACACAATGATAGACTCACTGCTAAGCTAGAGTGGGAAGACTCCTCAGCTATTGAGTTCAACCCCCTCTACTTATGGAGGAGGCCCAGAGATGGCAAATGACTTGTCCAAGGTCATACAGCTAAGAAGCAGTAGAACCAGGATTGGAAGCCAGGTCCTTTGATACCAATTCCAGTGTTCTTCCCACCATGACAGTAGTAGGTGCTTAAGAAATGGCTGTTGAATTAAATAATTATTCAATGCTGTGGAATGTTATGTCTACAGTGTATTACAAGTCTGAAGCAAATGTTCATATTTACTAATTTATTAGACATATTTCTTTACTAGAGAGGTGGTCATCTTAAGGGATCTACTGTTGGCATTTATTAAAAAACTGCTGAGGACATTTGTCCCTGTCCCTGCTCTGCTGCTCCCCCAAAGCCCTCTTTCCACTGGGGCTACGAGGGATGGACAGGAACATGCCATTCTGTCAGCTTAAAGGAGCAAGGCCAAAGAAGCAATCGAAGAGGCCGGTTGTACCCCCCCCCCCACGTGAGGCACATAACGGGACAGGTACACATAAGCATTCTGCTCCTCAACACCCTTCCACGATTTTCACGAGAGCTGCCCATCAAGGGCTAACACTGGCAGGACTCTACATGACAAAATTAAACAAACAAACAAAAAACCAGCAAGAATTTCCATGTGCTGAAAGGTGCTAGGTGCAACTCTGGTCTCCCCTCTCCCATTTATTTTGGGCTCATCCCCCGAGGACACGACCCTCCAGGAAGTGGCTGGTCCCCAGACACGTCACTCTTGTCTGGGCTCACTCAGCCCACAGGCACAAACATCAGAGAGGGGACATGTGGCAAGAGCAGCAGACCGAGGACAGTGGAACCTGGCAAAAACAGCCTGTCCCAGTTTCCAACAAAAGACACATAGAGCACTGGGACTGTGTTGCCCAGTGGAGAGCGCACAGTCATCAACATCGACTTGTCCGGTCCAGAAGAAGGAATGGGCGCTGGCTTTGCCCTATGTAAGGCTGCTGGCCTCAATTGGGCTTTTTTCTTCTGCTTGCCCCACCATGTTCTCCGGATTTACGCCTTCATCTTCATGCCTTTGGCTCCCTTCTAAACTGTGTCTGATGCCGTAAGAAAAGTAAATGAGGAAACCTTCGAGAAAGACAAAAGGCATCAGTTAGTGGTTCTTACCTCAGCTGGCACAGCCACCAAACCTCACATCCCCATCTCCTGGGGTGGGTCGCCCACTGTGAAATGAAACCTCTTCTTGGCCTTCCACCTCTAGAGTTGGACAGACCTCAGAGACCATCTGTCCAACATCCTCAATTTACATGTGAAGAAACTGAGGCCCAAGGAGGGAATATGACCTGTCCAAGGTCACACAGGTAGTAAACATTAGCTGTGGGGCTTCAACCCAGGCCCTCTGACTCTACAGCCAGAGCTTTCTCCATTGCACCCCAATTTCATCCTCAACTCTTTCGTTTCCCTCTTAATTGCTGAGCTAGCTGGCTCACTCGTTTGCAATTCTACCCTGTGCCTCCAGTAACAACCTCCCCCCCCACCAATAAATCTCATTTCTGCAGGATTAAAGATTTGCAAATGCTTTCCTCATCAGAGGCAGACTGGCCTAGGGGCCCAAGAGGCAGCCTCAGAGCCAGCAAGACTTGGGTTCAGGTCCTGCACTGATATACCCTGGACCTAGGGTGGCCCTCTGAGACCCTTTTCCTCCACTGGGATTTGCTATCCTAATAAAATCAGAGGCCCAGTGCCTACCATAGGGGACAATTTATCATTCCCATTTTAGAAATGGGCAAACAGATGGATACATGTGATGCCACTGGTCCATGTTGCCTAAACTAAGAAGTGTGGAAAGTAGGAGGGGGGGCAGGGAGAGATTCTCTATCCTGTGGAGCCCGTTGGCCCACAGGGCCTCTCTGAACCAGACACAAGATGGAAACCTGCACGTCCTGCAGAAGCACTGGGGGTGGGGGGAGCAGCACCAACCTGGGGCCCTGCTGCTGGCCGGGAGGTACTCACCTATAGCCATCCAGACGCTGAATCGGATCCATGTTTGTGCGTTCAGTTGGACCATGAGGTAAATGTTCACCAGGATGCTGAACGCAGGCAGAAAGGGCAGCAGAGGAACCTGCGGACAGACAGGCAGACACTGGTCCCACACCCAGAAAGGCTCCGGGGCTTTCATCAAGGTCCCCTCTTCGCCCCGCAGTGACCCAACAGCACTCTCTCCCTGAGCTCTATCTCTGTCCCCCTGTCGCTGCTGCTGCCAGGCCTCAGACCAACAGATGAAGAATTCCTGCTCCCAGGAGCCAATCATGTGCATCCAGGGCCTCCTGGGAAGAGTCGAGCACAGCTGAAATGAGTTTGCCCAGGACCCTAGATGTGCTCATTAATCAGAGCCGCCTCAACCGTGCTCTCTACTTATAACTCGCATGCTCCTGCGTCTGAATGATCCAAGGAGAGTTGGAGACACATGAAGCTAATACAGAGGAAGGCCGGGAAAGTATAAAGAAACACATCCGGCCATAAGCTGTGGCCACATTAAAAGGATATTCGAGGCAACTGAATTTCATAAGCACCCTGAAACTGAGAAGAGGCCACATACAACAAATGATTGTCACTGTCATCGTCCGGTTAAAATGGAAAAATGCTCCAAATCAGTAATAATAAAAGAAATGCGAATCAAAACAACTCTGAGGTTTCAGCTCACACCCTGTAAACTGGCAAAAATGACAAAAAATGACAAGTCAATGTTGGAAGGGTTGCAGAAAGATAGGCACATTAATACATTGTTGATGGAGCTGTGAAATGGTACAACCATTTGGAAAGCAACATGGAATTATACAACTGAAGTGACTAAAGCATCCCTACCCTTTGAAACAGGGACTTTATTATTGGGCTCATACTCCAAGGAAGCTACTGATTAAGAAGAAAGCCCTGAGATACGCCAAAATATTTATAGCAGCACTTTTTGTGATAGCTAAGAATTGGAAATAAAGTAGATGCTCATCAATTGGGGGAATGGCTTAAACACATTATGAACATGATGTAATATTAATGGTGCTATAAGGAATGATGTGTGATGAATACAGAGAAACATGGACAGATCTATATGAACTGATACAGAGTGAAGTCAACAAAGCTAAGATAATATGTAAGATAACTAAACATAAATGCAAAGAACGGGCTGAAAAATCAAAAGCGAACATAACAAAGTCATAAAAACCAAGTGTGATTTGAGTGAAAAAGTCTGAGAAGACAGCCCCAACGCCCCTTCCTGGGGGTAGGAGATCCACAGGTGTTACACATGGCACAGGTCTTTGATGGTTTTCCATGTATTGATTGCTTGTGCTGATTTTTTCTCTCTTTTTTTTTGTCTTTAAAAAATACTATTTGTTATATGGAATGGCTCTCTGGGAAGTGGAAGGATAATGAGGACAACTCTGATGAGTTTTCCTAAAACAAAAATCATCAGCAAAAACCACTTTTTAGGGCAGCTAGGTGGAGCAGTGGATAGAGCACCGGCCAGGGAGTCAGGAGGACCCGAGTTCAAATTTAGCCTCAGACCAAACACTTGACACTTACTAGCTGTGTGACTCTGGGCAAGCCACTTAACCCCAACTGCCTAAAAAAACAAACCACTTTTTTAAAAAATGGATGCCTCCTGGCTGTGTGAGCCTAGACAGAGTCACTTAGACTCTCGCTGCTCTAAGCAAATGTGTCACAGAAAAAGGGTTGACCTGCGTTGGTACAGGGCACTTCCTCCTCTGGGAGTTCCGTCTATCAGTAAGGTCACAGGTCCAGATTCACAAGAATGGAAATGAGACCAGAAACAGCTCACAGAGAAGGTTTGATTGAACTCCCTAGAGACTGGCTCAGCGCCTGGCAGTGGTAGGCATGGACTTGACTTGTTCTGGTAGTGATAGAGTATGGCATGGAGCAGCAGTGCCCTGGGCACAGGTAGCGTGTGCCTGGAGAAGGGAGTGGCTGGGCACCTGTCAAGACCTCAGAGGAACAGCTTGCTGGGGCAAGCACTGGCCTGGCGTCTACCAGCAGTCAAATAACAGAGGTAGGTTGCTCTACAGCATGGTGGGCAGATCCTCGAGCGGGAATTTGGAGAAGGTCTACTCTAGCCAAAGACTTCCTAGACAGTGGGGAAGCAGATGAACTACGAACTCCCATGGGAGAAGTACAGACCAGAACACCAAAGTAACAAGAAATCAGTACATTCAGAATACCAAAGCTCATTCTAAGGAAGCCAGATGAACAGAGAAGGTCCGTGCCCCAGAAATAGGTGGACAGATCCTTCTATAGGCCTGTCTGGGGCAGGGCTCCTCTCCACCAACCTGTGTTCATAGATTTAGAGCTGGGGAGACCTCAGAGGTTTCATTCCTCCATTTTACAGATGAGGAGAGTGAGGTCTGGAGGAGTGCAGCGATCTGCCCAAGGTCATAAAGGTGGCAGTCAGGACTGGAAGCCAAGAGTCTTTTCTACTGCACATCCATGAAATGACCCTGGTGGGCTGCTCTCAAAAATACCTGGGAAGACTTACATGAACTCACGCAAAGCGAAATGAGCAGAACCAGGAGAACATTGTACACAGTAACAGCAACATTGTAACAATGATCAACCGTGAACAACTTGGCTCTTCTCAGCAATACAAGGACCCAAGACGATTCTGAAGGATTTATGATGAAAGGGCTCTCCATCTCCGAGACAGAACTGATGGAGCCCGCATGCAGACTGAAGATACTTTTCCTTTCCTTTCTTTTTCTTGTTTTTCTTTTTTTTTGGCTGTGTTTTCTTCCACGGGGAAATACGTTTTGCATGCCTACACGTGTATGACCTATGTCAAATTGTTTGCCTTCTCAATGAGGAAAGAGAGGGAGGGAGAGAATTTGGAACTCAAAATTGAAAAAAGAACATTAAAATTGTCTTTTACTTGTAATTGGGAAAAAATAAAGTATTAAATTAAAAAAAAAGAAATGGGTCTTCTAACTCTCTGGGAGTATTGTCTTGGGGGTTCTTCCCATGTTTCAAATAACTTCACAAAGGAGTTATTTAATAGTGAATTATGACATTGGATTTCTAGCTGGCCCCAATTTTTGGAACAAAAATCAGATTACATCTAAAAAGCAAAGACAAAGAATAAAAATGAGACCAGAACAAAATTTACCGTACATAAAAAGAAAGGAATGAGACAAAGAAGTTGCTGTTAGGTTACACACTCCTGGAGAGCAGGGTCCATGCCTTTCTTAATTCTAGAGTCTTTCTTGGGTTGATTATTTCCTATTTATCCTATATGTAGCTTGTTTGTACAAATTTGTTTACATCTTGTCTGCTCCATTAGATTGTGAGCTCCTGAAGGGCAGGGGCTGTTTTTTGCCTTTCTTTCTGTCCCCAGAACTTAGTGCCTGGTACATAGCAGGTATATTAATAGAGGGCTCCAAGACATTGACTTAATTCAGTTCAATTCAATACTTGGCAAGCATTTATTAAAGAGTATGCTTCTGTGAGGCACTATACTAGGGATATAAAAATAGAAATGAAAAACAGTCCCTATCCTCAAGGATTTAAATTCTCCTTAAAGCATGAACGAGGAATCAGAAAGTTAATGCTGGCTCATTTGAAGCCAAAGTCAGTCAGAAAGAAGCTGGGAGTGGAGCATGGAAATCAGGAGAGGCCCACCAGATCCACCCCTAGACCTCCTCAGTGGTTGGCCATCCTTGGCTTCTGAACTGTTCATAAGCTGTGGGTCATTTAACTTTTCTTCCCTTCCACAGGTCACCACTTTCTCCAACTCCTCAAAGATGTTCCATCAAGGTGGGGGCTCTGAGCACTTACCATAAAGACCACTTTCTGCTCATTCTGAGGCTGCCTCCAGATGATGAGGATGATGCTGATGATAAGGAAGACAATCACAGAGAGAAGGCCAAGGCACCACGGTTCCATATTGGTAACGGCATTCACGCTATGGGTCATCAGGACGCTGAGGCCAAGAACCAGGAATGCTTCGCCCCAGACCCAGGGAGAAAGAAAGGATTTCAGACCAACTGTCCAGTAAAAGGGATCCCCTTTCATGGAAAGGGTTAGTTTTCCAGTCCAACCCCCTGCTCACTGTCTGGAGAGGCAGTAAAGCACTCATGCTGGATAGGAAGCCAGTCTTGGAGTCAGGAAGATCTGTGTTCTCCCTCTGACCCATAGGGTCCTAAATTTAGAGCGGGAAGGGACCTTGGAGGTCATCACATCCAATGCCCTCATTTTAAAGAGAAGCCCAGAGCTGAAATGGCTTAGCTCAAGACCACTCAGGTATTAAGCATTTGAGCCAGAATTCCCATCCAGAACTTCTGGCTACAAGTCCAGTGTGCTAATGCCCTGGGCAAGATTTAAGACTCCAAGTGGCAGAGAGACACCAGTGCATTGGCAGAGGGAGTTCCCATGCAAGGAGTTAAGTATGTAGATAAAATCACTAGATTTTTTTTTCATTTAAAAAAAGGGAAAAGAAGGAAAATTTCACTGATAGAAGCTGGAGCTTCCCATTATCCCTTTAGTTGACTTTTAATTTGTATTCTCCTGAGATGTAGTTGGGTAACTTCCCAAACACAGTCCTGCCTGCTCTGCTGCCTTCCCCTGATTCAGTTCTGGGCCCAGCCCCTTCATTGGCCAAGTGGCATGCCATGATTTGGGAAATATTTGAGTGAAAAAAAAGAGCTTTCCAAGAGTTACTTTTCATCCACCTTGTTTTTACTCTGTGGATGGTCAGATTGGTCTCTTCCCAGTACTGTAGCTTTTGCTGAGGAGGATTTGTGATCTGGAGCTCAAAGAAATGAGCAGTATATTTGTCCTCTGAGAAAAAGGTTATTTGGAGAACTGCACCATAACCATGGAATTCTTTGGTCTGGACTTCATACAGAACGTGAGGTTGTGAGAGTCCAGATTTAAAGGATCTTAGAGATCAGTCATCTAATCCCAGCCCCTCATTTTATAGCTGAAGAAACAGCGGGCCAGAGAATGGAAGTCACTCGCTCAACATCACCCTTGTTAACATCAATCCTCTGATTCCCAATAAATCCAGTCCTCTCTCACTCATGCTGGCAATGCACCAAGATGGGAGGCTTGGCTGACGTGCATTGTGACTCCCGTTCCATGCCCCCACCAAAGACCTGTCCTGGGACCCCAGATCTGCTCTGCTTGATGTTCTAGACTATACATGCCTCTATATTCAAGGGTGCCATGATGACTCCTAGTGGACCCGACCTATCCTGTGCCTTAACTACTTGATCTCTTTGTGTCAGGGCAATGGTGGAGCATTTGCCATCCAAACATCAGTGACTCCAAGGGGAGACGAGATGAGGGCTTGTGAGGGAGATTCTGGGGCAGGGAGTGCTTTCATGGCAGTACCATAACTGGGTAAGACCACTGACAGCATTGTCCAGAGGGGCTTTCCTTCCACTGCTTGGCTCCATCCTCCAGTGGCAGGGGCCAGCCCCACGCCCTCAAAGGCACTCCCTGCCAACTCTGTGCCAGTCACTGGTCAAGATGGCCAGTCATGGTGGCATGGGGGTCTTGTTAACTCAGGTGAAGGGGACTCACCCAGCAGTCCCACCAAAAAGCTGACGAGAGACGCTGACCGCTGGGTGGGTAACCTCGAGGGCTTGATGAGGTCCTGCTTGCTGTTCCCAGACCCCGGCATCAGGTCTGTGGCTGGGCCCAAGGTCAAGCCTTCTTTCTCCGGGCAATATTTTGTCTTCTGGTGAGTCAGGCTGGGCTGGTACCTGCTCCCAAGGACAGACTGTATCATTACCCTGGCGTGAATCCTCTATCACATAGCACCTGTGTGACCTTGGACAAGTCCCTGCAGCCTGATGCCTTCTGGGACTGTAGGACTGTGAGCCTATGGTCCTATATGACGAGGGCTTTCTGGGTCTCAGTAACTCAACACTGAGGCCTGGTGACACGCCTCAGGTCACACACAACCACATGTAGGGGGCAAGAGTCAAACCCAGGTCTTCCCACCTCTGGACCCAACAATTTTTGCCCTAAACCCCAAGGTTTCCTGAGGTGCCCAACACGGGCCTTGCACTCACTATCCAAAGAGCAAGATGTGCCCTGTTCTTTCTACCCACTCAAGCTAATCCAGTCTGGTGATTCTTAGCAAGAGATCTCTGCACAGAACCAAGCCTCCAACCAGGGCGATGAAGGGTAAGAAGATGAGGGGAATGAGGAGCCCACCTGAGGATGAGGACACAAGCAGCCACAAGCGAATAGGCCAGGAGGGTCCCGATAGACATCATATCCACCAGAGCCTTCAGGTCAAAGAGGAAGGCCATGACCGCTGTCCAGAGAGAAACAGAGAGAAATAAACACAAGAAATCAAAACCAAAGACTGTCACTAAAGGTTGTTCATTTAGGACAGCTAACCTCACGGGGGATGCGTGAGTGTGTGTGTGTGTGTGTGTGTGTGTGTGTGTGTGTGTGTGTGCCCACGCATGTAACTGGGCAAACCAAAGCATCACAGGATGCTGGAGCTGGAAGGAACCACAGAAGCTACCTAGACAACCTAGTCATTCTACAGAAGGGGAAACTGAGGATGGATGAATAAGTACTTTTGACCAAGGACACACGGATGACCTAAGCCCTCATCTTACTTACAGAGAAGGGAAGGGAGGACCAAGGTCACACAAAGGACTCGGCAGAGACCTTGAAATCCAATTCTCCTTCACTGTAGAGATACTCTACTGCTCATGGAGATGAGGTGACTTGCCCAGGGTCACACAGCCAGTAAGTGTTGTGTCTGAGGCTGGCTTTGAACTCAGGTCCTCCTGACCCCAGGGCTGGTGCTCTACCCACTGCGTCACCTAGCCGCCCCATACAAAGCCTCTTTTTGATTCAATAGGCAGGGCCCTGGGGGGTCATCTAGTCTGACCCCCTCATTTTACAGAGGGGGAAACTGAGGCTGCCTGTAGAAAGGAACTGACTCATCCAGGGTCACACAGGGGATCCACGTCTGAGTCAGAACGGCCTTTGGAGACCGTGTCATCCTGCCCAGTCATTTCACAGACCAAGAAACTGAGGCCCAAGAGGTTAAAAGGAGTATATAGGCAGAATGCTCAATGTCTACCTCTGTGGCCAGACTCAAGCCTGTTCCCTCCATTAAGCCTCAGTTTCCCCCTTTGTAAAATGAAGGGCTGAACTTGAATCCTCGGGCTCCTTCTTGCCAGGATCCACTTTGAGCCTCACCATGTGAGTGTTCCTATAGGCCAGGGAGGCTGTGGTGGTTTATCCTCACTTTATGGAGGAGGAGGAGGGACGTCGAGCCTTTCGGTGCCTTACCCAAGGCTACCCAAAAGGCTGAGAGTGGAGTCAGGCCTGATCATTGCCCTAACACCGGTTCCCTGAGGGCAAGGCTCTCCCACTACATTTGACCATGCTCCTGTGCTTCTCCAATCAAAGCAAGTCACAAGAATTTGGAGAGGAGAATTTAGCAGGTTTTTAACTGTCAAAAGTGGATGTTTACAACCCCAGAAACAAATTCAGAATTCCATGGGACTTTGCATTTAGAATTTGATTCTAAGGACAGTCATCAGGGCAGGTAAGAACTTGGTTTCCCATGAGTTTCACAAGATTGCCAGGTCTGAGTCTGTCATCTTTCCTTGGCATGTTCTGGGTGAGCCGAGTGAAGGTCCTGATCCTGCTCCTTCCCTACCTATTTTAGGGCACAGAGAGTGACCCTTTGGTAGACAGGTGCACAGTAGGGCCTGGTTCCTCAAACTCTACAAAGACCATCCTGAGAAAGAGCCGCTTGGAAAGATGGCTCAAACTCTCTGCTCGCAGCTGGGCAACTTAGCCCCCAAATCCTTGGCCCCAGATCTTTCTCAGGCAAGTCCCCACACCCACTGGCCCTTGCAAAAGGCTGCATATCTTCTTCCTTGGCCAGCCATGGAAGGGTCACAAGGACAGAGGATCCGATGCAGGCGACAGAGAGATTTGGAGAAAGAGGCTTGGGCCTGGAGGGCTCCACACTTCACCTCCACCTGATTTGCAAACAATTTGGAACCAAAGCATACTCTAGCAAATGGGATGGCTGCTTAAGGGTGGCCTTTCTTTAGTTAAAAAAAAAACAACTTTTTCAGTGGTCACAGAGAAAGAGGGGTGGCCTGGGGAGATAGTATCTTGAGTTAATGTGTTTTCCAAACCTGTGGGTGGGCGCATGCACACACACATTTTCTTACAAAGTGCCAATTCTAGCTCTGCTCTGGGTGGCTCAGGATGTAAACCATTTCCTTGCTAAGCTCTGGAATACTAGAGTCAATCTTAGTTTCTTGCATTGAGCTTGTGAGGCACCTGAAAACAAAGTGATATTGGTATCCTGAAACTGGTCCACAACTCCCTGGGAAAGCCCTTGCCAGGCACATCTATTTCTAGGAGACAATCTATTTTCCCTTCTGCCTTCAGGTGTGGCAAACACACTGCATTCTTTTCTGTATTTATATTCACGCCCGGGCTCCAAGGTTGGCGTTTCAGCGGAGGTCAAAGTGCCTCCTGAGGTATGAATCTGCCTGTGGTTGAGAACGTACAACATTGCTTCTGTAGAAAGATGGAAGCCTTTGGAACCACTGAGGCACTAAAAGATGTTGAGCATTGTTTTTAGGAAGCCGGGGACTAACTTTGAACATAGCTAACTAGTCCAGCAAGCTGCAGAGCTGTGTTTTGTTTTGTTAAAAAGGTTACCTAATAGTGGGCAGATGTTAGTTTCAAACAAAAGGCCGTTTCAGTAAGACTACATTTAGATTGACTTGGAGAGGCTGGGTAGTGATAAGGTGTGTGCAGCCTGGGGTCAGGATAGGCTTGAATTCAATCACCACCTGTGACCCTTATCAGCCAGTGACCCCGGGCACCCCTGAGCCAAGCTGTCTGAACATTTTAAATGGCTCTGGAGATGCTTGTGGTAGTCGGGCACGAGGGGGCCTTGCCCCTGCTGTGTTCACAGACCACTGGGTCTATCCACCAGTGTGTGCCGGGCACTAATGCCCACACGACCTTTCTGGACTCCCTGTCCGCCTCCTGTAAAATGAGGGCTTGGAGTGATCTCCTCAGAGGTCCCTGCTGGGCTCGGGAGCAAGAATCCTAGGTTCACTTCACTTGCCTGGGCCTCAGTTTCCTTCTCTGCAAGATCAGACCTAATGGCCTCTAAGTTCCCTTCCAGCTTTAGGATCCTATAATCAAATTTATCATGGGAAAAATAAACGTCTTATAGCAGACCCTGCCTGGATAGAAAGGAGCGATAGGAGGCGCACGCTCCCGGAGATGCCCGGATGGATAGCACCACAGGTCCCTTCCAGCTCCCAGGCCTACGACCCCTGTAGTCGTCCACAGACGTCTCCTCAGACGTCTCCTCCATGCGTTGGGGTGGGAAGCGTCTGCTGGAAGCGGGCAGACAATGAGTGAGTGGCTCGTGGGGAGGCTGGCTCGAGGGAGGGACACGTGTGTGCGTTTATACGCATCTTTGCAGACACGGTCTCTGGCAGGCTGACGCCCTGCTAACACACTGACGTGGCAGAAGGCCTGGGAGCTGACTCACTCTTGCCACGGAGCTCTCTTCTCCTGCCTGCCTTGGCACCCTGTGGATGCTCACACTCTTTGTTGGCCCATCCCTGTGGCCTGGACCTCCCTGGTGGTCTTAGCACCACCATTCAAGACGGGTTACTGGATCAGCCTGGAGAGGCCCGCCAGCATAGTGGAGTTAGCTCCAACAGTCTACGGGGAGGGAGGAGGGCTGCAGATGGTGGAATGGGAGGGATGATTTTCCCATGGTAGGAGCCTCCACGTTTCAAAAGCTGCTCTGGCTGGCCTCCGTTCCCAGGGAAGCTCACCAAAGCAATGGGAAGGAAGGGTCAAGTCATATGGGGTTTCTGAGAGAAACCTAAAGGTTTTGGGTTCCTCTGACCCTAACCTGGCATGTTGCCATGGAAACAAGAACCAAACTGGGCAGGGTGGGGGGTGTTAGAGGCCTAGGCTGGGTTAATTTCACAGCATCATTTCAAAACCAACGGGAAAACCATGAACCATTTCCTGCTTAATTTTTAGTCAAATAATTAGCCTTGAATTAGATTGCGGCGAATCAATTGGGTGAGTAATTCCAGGGGATCAATTTCTCCAGATCATTTTCTAATACTTGATATCCAGAAAGACTCACCATTTCAATCACGTTTTTTTAAGAGACTGAAAGGGTTGAAAAAAAAATTCAAAAGCTAAAACCCTGCTTGCTAGGTTAAGGGTTAAGTCATTTATGGATGCCAAGTATGCCGCCACCAAGAGTTCCTACTGCAGGGGATCCCCACTGTCCATGCCCATCTCATTCATTCGTCCAAAATGCTCTTCCCCTGCATGCAGGGCAGGCATGCGCCCTCTCGGGAAGGTCCATGCATCGAGGTGCTTGTGGTGAATGCTGAAGAACCCTGGATTTGTGAAGCTTACCAGAGATGAGCCCTGCCGTCAAGGTGGCGGCAACGGGCGACTGCCTGTTGCTTAATCGTCCAAGAAATCTAAACAGTAAACCATCCCGTGCCATGGCAAAGAGAATTCGGGGCAAAGGAAACATAGAGCCGAGAAGACTAAAACAGAAAAGTGCAGAATTCAGGGACGAGTCATTCCATGGCGGAAACACGGACGGGACCCACTCAGGTGGGCTTGAGGATGGTGGGAGAACCTGGTCAAAACATCATGACTGCCGAAAAACACACAACCACATCTCGTCATCACCTCTCTGGGCAGGAGCAGTGCAGGCCAGAGAGACCACATCTGCATTTTTTATCGTTCCCCCATGTCCTTGGTCAAAGGCTCCCCCTCCATACAAAAGTCAGCTGGGTCTCACCTGCCACGGAACCCGATGTCAAAGTAGCACTGAGTGGGCTCTTCGTTTTGGGATGGACTTTAGCTAAGAATTGGAAAAGCAAACCATCTTCTGCCATAGCATAGATTACCCGCGGCATTGGGAACATGGATCCAAGGAGACTGGGTGGAAAGCAAACATACATGGAAAGCAAGCAAGATCACATCACAGAGGCAGAGTCCACGCCCAGCCTGGCTGTCCCCCTCCTCAGAGTGGGATCCCATGGCAAGGCAGAGTGGGGACACATTCAGGGACCAATAGGGTCGCCAATGGCGGGCCTCCTGCCAACGAGAGCGTGAGGCCCACAAGATTTTTCACAAGTTTTCGGTCCCCACTGTCCCTTCTGTCTTTAGGAAGCCAAGTCTGCTGAGCCAATATCTAGCCTGTGCTCAAGAGACCCTAACACCACCAACTGTGTCTTTTCAAAAACAGCAAGCACCCACTCTGGCTGGCATTCTCACTGGTCTCCCTGTTCTCATAAAAGGTGCATCAAACCAGTTAAAGTCCAACCAATTATTTGGGACCTGGGAGGGAGCTAGAAAAGAACTCAGAGGCGTCCAATCCAACCCCCAGATTTTAAAGATGAGGAAACTGAGGCCCAGGGAATTGATTCACTAGGTCCTAGTCTGAGGAGATCCTGGATCAAGCTGGAAGAGACCTCAGAGGCATCCAAATCCACCCCCCTCATTTAGCAAGAAGAAACTGAGGCAGCTCAGAGCAGAGAAAGGATGAGCCCAAGTTTCACAGCTAATGAATGGCACGAGCCAGATTCAAACCCACATCTCTTGACTTTCCCCAGTGTATGTAATAAGCTAGTCCATAGTTGCTTCTCACTTGCATGTACAGTAACACTTGATGGCAAATCCCAGCTGTCACTAACTGCTCTGTGTTACCTCGGACAAGGCCTGAAACCTCCACGGGCCTCAGTTTCCCCCTCTGGCAAAATGAAGGACGAGATGGCTTCTGAGGTGCCTTCCAGGTCTAGGCCTACAATCCTACATGTGACCTTGAGTGAGTCACTTGACCTCCAGGGCCTTCCATAGTGAGCAGAAGCTGGAAAGCCTGTACCCACCTCTCCCTGGGCGGCTGCTCAGGTCAGTGGTGGTGTTGGGAAAATGGAAGGAAGATATTGGCTCAAACCAGCTTTCCAATCATCTGAACCCTTCACTTATCATGTGATCGGTTGTCCCATCTCCCCAAACATGGCAGGTAGCACAATTTAAAGCAGGGCTTCTTAACCCTTTTGATGCCATGAGCCTCCTTTCTCAGGGTATGTTTTACATAGATCACAAAGGGAACCAATAAGGTGGAAATAGTTATTAAAATGCAAAAGAGAAAAGAAAAGAAAGAACCCTTGATTTAAAGAGACAGAATTTAATTTAATGGTTAAAATTTAATTGAATTTAAGGCTTCAGCAGGTAATCACTCTTACCTTTCAAAAAGTACTTTTAATGATTATGAGGAGATTGGTTCCCACAATTTCAGACTTTTAGAAAACCAGGCTAAATTTTAAAACGAGCAAGGAGGCCAAGGTTGCGTTGTTCCCCAAAGCGCCATTGTGACCGTGACCTGCCGTCAAGGCTCGGATTGGACACTGTGCCCACGCAGGGCTCCCTTTGCCACAGGGCAGATTTGGGGCCTCGGGAGCATGTCCTTCTCTCTGTCTGAGCAGTTTTGGAAGCCTGAGAACAGGAAGGAGGCTGGAGAGGAGGAGAACTGGGGGGCAAGGCTGCCCTGGGCTTCCTCCACCTCGCCTGGGCTCCCGGAGCATTGCAGAGCCTTTGGTCTATCCCCTGCCCTCCACCTCCACTTGACATCTGAGGGGCTCTCACCCAGCTTCCATCCCACCTAAAATATTCCTTTCTATTTTCAGGGCAATAAAGCAGACTGATGCTGCCCTGCTACGTCGACACTGAAAAACCCACCATGTGTCAGAATGATGGCAGTGTAGACGGGCTATACCAGCAGATATTTAGATGACCACCAGCCTTCAAGTGAGGGCCAGGCTGAAAGCTGCAAGAGCGGGCAGGTTCTTAGGCCTGTTACACTACGCTGAAGAACCAAAATCTTGGGATTCTCCCATTGGTTCTAGAGCTTCCCCTCCCCCAACCCAGCCCAGCACGGTTTCAGAGAGCAGCCTCAAGGCTCTCCCCTCCTTCCCAAAGTGGAAGATAATTGGACTCCACCTAAAAACACTTTGCTATGTTGACAAAGCAATTCACCTCCAATCACTCCCCAATTAAATCCAGAAGCCATTGGTATTGGGAAAATAAGCTGGGGAGAGAGGTGTGTGTAGGGCACCCCAGGCTGTTGCAGGGTCGCCGAGCGTCTGAATTGGGATTTGAACCCGGGTCTTTCCAGCTCTAAGCCCAGCTAGCCCTGCTCCACCCCACCCCAACTCTCCTGGCTCTCTATCAGAAAGAAGGACGTGACTTTTCTTTGGCCAGCATTAGTTTTGAGTTGGAGCTGATGGCAGTCAATTCGGCCCCTGCTCATACCCAGAACCTGGATCAAAAACCCTTGTCAGTTCACGGGCAGCTGGGACCCTGCTTACCGCAGCACGTCCTGAACCCCCGCCTCCCACCCTGGGCAGCTCTGACTGCGTGTTAACGCTCAGAGCGCAGTGTGGGGCTCAATGCTCCAAGCTCCGTCCACAGTTTCAGAGTCTGTGGGCAGGCCTGCCCGGACCCCAACCCTGTGTCAGGTGCTCAATGTTTCTCTAAGGGCTGGAAATCAGGAAGGGGGACGAGAAACACACACCTCCCCTTGGATCCCCTTCCCCAGCCCCGACCACCCTTCCCTCTCCCAATGGGGTCACAGGAGGCATGAATGAGGCCTCATTAGAACCTCTCCCACCTGTTACTGACGGGGACCCCAACCCCTCTGCCACCTAAACACTCGCACACATACTGCGTGGGACAGCTGCCAGGAACAGCCCCCTGGGATGTTCTGATGGGATCGTATGGGGCAAGCTGGCCGGAAGGGTCCCTGACCTGCAATCCTTCCAGGACAGATGCTGTCAAACCCACCTTGAACACTTCTTGTGAGGGACAGCTCACTACCTGTCAGAGCAGCCTCTTCCATCAAAGGACAGTGTCTGTGGGAGGCCCCCGTGCCATTACAGTGTCTTACCTGGCAACGGGGGCATCTAGGTCTGTGCGACCCAGAGCAGGCCTGGGAGTCACCACCCTCCCCCACAAGCCCATGGGGTCTGTGGACTCCGTGCACCCCGAGTCCTGACTTCTGGGCCCCCAAAGCACGTACCTGGTGGACAGAGCACAGAGGGAGCCCACGGCCACCACGTACTTGGCAGGGCTCCAGCCCACATATTCGAAGGCTACGGGGAGGGGGCTGGTCTCATCCAGGAGGTAATAGGGCATCATGAGGGTCAAGGCCGCAGACACGCCAAAGTAGGCCATGAAGCACACGAGCAGGGAGGTGACGATGCCGATGGGAATGGCCCGCTGAGGATTCTTGACCTCCTCCCCTGAGGAAACGGGGAGAAAAGGCAGGGAGGCTCGGGTGAGTGGACTCCCCAGCCCAGCTTCGGCTCGCCCTGGCCCCCGGCTTCAGCTCGCCCTGGCTCCTGCAGGGGCCGGCAGGATTGATGGCACGCTCCGGGGTCCTCAGGCAGCATGTGCAGCGGGGGCCAAGCCCGGGCCTCTGCCCCCCTCCCTTCCAGGCAGCCAGGTCCTCCAGCATCCCCAGGCGAGCAGAGCAGCGGAGGGGCTTCTTACCAGTCGTGGCAATGCAGTCGAAACCCACGAAGGCGTAGAAGCACGTGGCAGCTCCAGCCAGCGTCCCCTTAAAGCCAAAGGGCATGAAGCCGCCAACCCCGTACTGGCTTGTCTCATTCTTGGACGGATCCCTGGAGACGGGGAGGGTGCAGACAAGACCGTTCACCCTGCTGCCCAGGCCACACCAAGCGAGGGCAGCGGCTTCCGGGCTAGTCCTCACTGAAACCACGTGGGCCTCAGAGGGGCTGAACCAGAAGGCCTCCAAGGCCGCTTCGAGCTCTACCTGTGGTCCCAAGGGCCCCGACTTTACTGCTTTGAAATGGAGCTGAAGCGGCTTGCTCAGGGTCACATAGCTTGTGCTAGTAGCAGGATCTGAACCCAGGTCTTCCTGACCCCAGACTCACTGCTCACCCCACGACACTTGGGCATTTCTTACAAATCTGTGATTCTTTTCTCTGTATCTTTCCTAATATTTACCTCTGTCACAAACATTTAATTGTCACTCCCCCTCCACATATTCTGCCGTTGGCCCAGTGGATAGAGCACTGGGTCCAGGGTCAGGAAGACCTGAGTTCAAATCCAGTCTCAGACACTTCCTAGTTGTGTGGCCCTGGGTCAGTCCCTTAACCTCAGACTGCCTGACAAAACGTATCCACTGGAGAAGGAAATGGCAAATCCCTCCAGTATCTTTGCCAAGCAAACCCCAAAGGGAACCACGAAAGGTCGGTCAGGACTGAATAACGACTCCACATAGTCTCTGCTCTGGTCCACATAGACCTCCACTGCCCTGGAATACTCCCCGCATTCCCTGGCCTCTGCTAGCGACTCTCACTGATGCCTAAAATGGCTTCCTTTCTCTTGGCCCATTGAATTCCTCCTCAGCCTTTAAGGCCCACCTTAGATGCCACCCCCTCCAAGAAGTCCCCCATGATTCCTGGGGGGTGACTTTTCCCCATTTGCTTTCCCCTAAGTTGCTAGGGAGGGAGCGGAGAGAGTTCAGTTGTAATCCGGTCCTATTTAGAACCAGGGCAGCCCACCTTCCCCCAGAATTGGTGCCATCGCTGGATGGGGCCCCCTGGGAAGCCTGGGTCCCAGCTGGGGTTCGGCTAGAGGTGGGAGCAGCCCAGATCGAGAGTGGGGAGGGGCCACAAAATAGAACATGGATGCTGAGCTGGAAGGGACCCTCAAGCGTTATCTGAGCCAACCCCCTGACTTTGCCCCCGGGGAAACAGAGGCAGCTGGGAGGGGGGGGCGGGAGAGCAGTCAGCTTTCTCCCCCAACCAGGCAAATGCCTCACCCATCCTTCCCGACCCCGGTGGTGGCTGAATGTGCATACAAGTCCATCTGGGGGGTATGGAGAAGGCAGAAAGGTAGCCAAGGACAGTTAGAAAGGACCCAAAGAAACTCTCTGAGAAGCATAAGGTCAGCAGGGGGGTGTCGGGGGTCATGGAGTCCCAATGCTTTCCTTTTACAGAGAGGGAAACTGAGGCCACAGGAGGGAGTGACTTCCCTAAGGCCACATGGGCACTGCTGGTCAGAGGTGCAGGTCCTACGCCTCCTCAGCCGGGGCTTGGGCCCTCAAAGGCCCTTGAGAAGACCACGGGAGCTGACCCAGACCAGGCTCTTGCCCAGCAAAGCTGAGCAGCAAGGGTCCACTTACTGGGTGGCGGCAGAGATATTGTTGAGGAAGCCCTCACTGATCCTCCAGTTGGCGATGTGGCCTTTCACAAACCCCGAAATTATCACAAAGATCAGGACCAGGATGTTGACTGCTGTGAAGATTTTATTCACCCAGGCCGATTCTTTGACTCCAAATGACAGGAGGCCTGTGGAAGGACACGGGGCACATACTGAGGAGGAGGTGGCAGCGGGGTCCCCGGGGGTGAGCAGGTGAGCTGGCCAATGCTTCTTCTCTCTGAACTGCCCTGGGGAAAGGGATGTGCCCTGGGAGGCAGCCCAGTGCCCGTGCACCGATGATGGCCTCAGAACGGCGGGTGCCGTCCCCACCCTCCCCACGGGTGTCCTAGGCAGAGCTGGAGAGAAAGGGCCTGTGGCCCATCCAGTCTGCGGAGGTGACAGAAAGCCCCCCAGGGCAGGGACACGCCCGTGGTCACACGAGGAAAGCAGGAGACATGGCACTCCTTCATGGAACCATGGAGACTCTCTGTTCTATCCACTGGTTAGAGGATCTCCCTGCCGACCTTAGAAAAGACCCGTCCATGTGCAATGAACACAGAGGCAGGGCAAGCAAAAGGTGAGACTTTTATCTGTCCCCGCCTGGGGTCCTGGTCATGGAGCCCTGCCATCCCTGGGGAGCAGCCAGGAGAAACAGGGAAGGGCAGATCTCAAAACACGCCATCACAGCAGGCCCAGGGGCATGGCCCCAGAGAGCTGACCAAACTATGATTCAACATGCAGTCATGTGGAGTCCTCCAAAGGCTGGAGCTGTAACTTTCTATGGCTCCCTATTACTTCTGGGATGGGATAGCTTTCGCTCCAAACTGCCTTTCTGTGGGTGACTTCCCTTGCCCCAGTCGACGGCATGCCCAACGGGCCTCGAGCAGGGCAGGTCTCTGACACGGCCTCACCCTCGTTCCCTCCTCACTTGTCTCTTGGAATGCCTCGTTTGTTCGGGGCCGCCTTGCTGAGCCCGTCTGCTAGAGGTCCCCTGTGTAGAACTCCCTACCTACATGTGGTCTCCACTGTCTGGGCAGGGGCTCTCACTTCTGTCTCGGTACCCCTTCTGCCGGCACACCAAGGGGGGCTGAATGAGGGCGTGAGGAATCAGCGGACGACCCAACATTTACCCGACAGGAGGAGGATGAGGCACACGGCAAAGAAGTCTGGATACTCGGCGAGCCCCGGGGAGTACATGCTGAGGTGGCTCCGGAAAAACCTGCTGATCTCTTTGTTGAGCAGTTCATCAAAGGTGCCACTCCATGCCCGGGCCACGCTGGAGGTTCCTGCACGAAAACAGCAATGGGACATAAGGAGCACTGGGAATCGCTCTTGGGCAGAAGCAGACAGGCCTTCCCCCAACGGACCAGGGCCACGGGCCACACAAATCCTGGAAGGGCACGTGGAGAACGTGGCGAACGTGGCTCCCGGGCACGGGGCAAAACCAGCCACTTCCAGGGCACCGAGAGGCTCTCTTTCCTTCCAGGGTCCCCGTTTCAGGTCTCCCATGTGGATGGGAGGTCCCTGGGGCCCCAGGCTCAGCACAGCCTTTGATACTAAACAAGGCCCAGGGCGCTTGGGATTGCCCACTGCCCAGACCTACCAATGACGTAAGACAAGAGGAGGTTCCAGCCTGTGATGAAGGCCCACAGCTCGCCCACAGTGACATAAGTGTACAAGTATGCAGAGCCCGTCTTGGGGACCCGGGCCCCAAACTCCGCGTAGCACAGGCCGGCCATCACGGAGGCCAGGGCCGCGATCAGGAAGGACAGCACAATGCTGGGGCCGGAGCTAGACTTGGCCACCTCCCCCGCGAGGACGTAGACCCCCGCTCCGAGGGTGCTTCCCACCCCAAGGGCAATCAAGTCCACAGTGGTCAGGCAGCGGCAGAGCTTGGAGTCCTCCAGACTATCCAAGGTGACGATTTTCCTCCGAAGGAGGCAGCGGGTGAAGGTCAGCACGGCTCCACAGGGAATCATCTTGTATGCAGTGATCTATGGGGAAAACAAAGGCCCAAAGCAGATTTAATGTCACTCAGTCGTTCAACAAATGCTGGGGAAAGCTTTCTGGGAGAGGAGACAAAAGGGAATGTGGGGGACAACAGAGGGAAGGTCTAGGGAGCGTGGGGCCAGAAGCACTCATTGGGTCCATCTGTCAGTGGCGTCCTTCAGATTTACATTAATCCCCTCCCTGCCACCCAAAGCCAACCAAGAGGGCTGTAGCTTCCAGGAACAGGGAGGGCACTGTCCCTCACCACTCTAGAGTACTACTCCGGCCAAGCAGTTCTCATGAAGCGCGTCTTATGCGCCAGGCACTGTGCTCAGCACTTTACAAATAGTAATATCATTGGGTCCTCACAACGGTACGGTCCTGGGAGGTAGGTGCTACAGTTTCCATTTTACATCTGAGGAAACTGAGGCAGGCAGAGACTCAGTGACCTGCCAGGGTCACACAGCTAGGAAGCGCCTAAGGCTGAATCTGAACTCAAGTCTTCTGACTCCAGGGCCCAGGGCTCTATCCACTGTGCCACATGGCTGCTTTTGCACTAAAAAAGCCCAATGTAGGAAGGCTGCCTTTTCCGAGGACGTTAATTAACCAAAGAGCCTGGGCTGTTAGCATGAGCTGGCAGTGACACCCAGTGGTTCGGGGAGAGAGTGCGTGCTGCCTAGTTATTCCAGGCCACACCCCTGGGAGGCCGAGGGGCTTGGACTTCCACTTCCCTGGCTCAAGGGGCAGCCATACCCGTGCTATTCAGCTGCTGAAGAAATCACTTCAGAGCTGGCTTCTTCTGGAAAAACGAGCAGCGTGTGAGCTCGGGAATGGCCAGCCCTTGTCCTGGGCACTGATGTGCGTCACCATGGACAGCAGGAGTCCCTCTCTCTAGCCCAGGCTGTGGCTCTGGGGGGCAGAACAGACAACCTCCTTAAAGTCTCCCCCTTGCAAACGCACTCGATGGACAGATGGATGGAGCCCGAGCTGGCTGACTGCCAAGGCTGGACGCCAGGCTCTCACTGTTGGTGAAGGCACAAGGAGACCCTGATGGAATTTCTGTTTGTGGAGACTTCTCCAAAAGGCTTATTAGTTCCTCTCAGAGGGAGAGAATGCTTCATCTAGCAGAACAGGATGTAGAAAACAAAAGCAAGAAGGCGTCATGACCGTTAATGGGACATGTCTGTCTGCTGCCGTGGGCATGCCCTGGCACTCAGATCTACAGCCGTTTTGACTGTCTTCTTAGGCAATGAGGGCAGTGAAGCCTTCCATTTCTATCTCACAGAGCTCTCCGAATGGCTAACACAGCCCCCAGCTATTTCCCATTCCCCTCTCCTCATTCTTAGTTGATGATGCCATCCTAACAGGCCAGGATAGGAAAGAAGCAGGGGACACCGAGGTCCTGTAGGGTGAGAAGAGAGTGACGGAGGCAGGAGCCCCATGCACCACACCAACTGTTCCCCCACCTCGGAATGATTTGTAGCCAGGAAATCAAGGGGAGGCAAGAGGCAGGGAAGGCCTTTGGCCGGTGTTTCCAGGTTTGCCCATGACACAGCAGCATGACAAAGAATCATGGGAGGCAGGGAGAGAAAACGTCTCTGTTGGAAGTGTGGAACCTAGTAACCGACTGGTATATTCACCCACCACCTACCCCCAATGCCTCGTGCCCCTCTACCAGCCCTACACCACAGTTCCCAGGATGGACTGCCAACTTCCTCTCATTCGGGTCAGACACCATTGTAGTTAGTTTAGCTAGGACCTGCTAACCAGCCCTCTGCACCCCTGACATGGTCTTCACGCATGTTGTCACCACGTCCCAAGGTCAATGGAGATGACCACCACCATGCCTTCTCCCTGGCTTCTGCCTCCCCCTGCTCCCAATGGTCACACGTAGGGAAGGCACGGGCCAGAGTCACTCAGGGATGTGTGTGAATTAAGTGGGAACAGGCCTCACAGGGGTCACCCTGGTCCCAGTGAGAACCACGGCCAATGCCGAATTCCAAGATGAGCTGAGCTGTCTCCTCCTGGTGACCTGGGCCCCACTCTGTCCTCTCCCTGGGTATCAGTCTCCCCATTATCTGCCTCAGGCATCCCAGAGCCTCCCCATCATGGCGCAAAGTCCCAGACCCTCTCTGGGCCTGCTGGTCCCTTCATAGGGCACAAAACAACCACTTGGGCCACTAACCTAAAATGAACAAGGGATTTCAAAGATCAGGGTAGTTACCAAAAGAGACCGACTATGCAGGCGATTGTCAAGGATACTCAGAATGAGATTGTCTGTCTCCAGGTGGGCCCCGAGCCCGGGGATGTGGCCACCAACGCTTCACAAAATCAGAGGGTTTGGAGCAGGGGAAAGAATGTCGGATAGGATATCAGAGGCCATGTGTCCAAGCTCAGCTCAGCCTCTTCCTATCCATGAAGCCTTGGGATAGCCACAAAAACTCAAACCAAGAGATTAAGTGACTTTTCCAAGATGACCCGGGTGGGAAGGGGCCCAAATTGTAGGTCTTTTCTGTCCTCTGGACACCATGGTCTCAAGGGTCCCATTCCACTCTAAATCTATGACCCTATCATCTAGACAGCCAAGCTCAAACCCCTCATTTTACAGTGAAGGAAACTGAGGCCCAGAGAAGGAGGTCTTTAGCAGACCCAGAGTTGACTCCAAATCCATGAGGGCTGGACCCACAGCTTCTTCAAGCTAGCCTCAGGAGATCTAACTCCACTGGCTCAGAAGCCTGTTGGAACAGAAAGTACAAATCTCGTCTCTCCATTCCCCCACCCCCAGGATGGCAGGTTTGATCCCCCTCCCTTATCCCTGTCCTGTCTTCTCCCAGCCTAGGCTGAAATTTCAAACTGCCCCATAGTCATCCTGCCAAGGACACCTTTTGGAGGGAAACGCACTTGGGAGCAGCTGGACAAAGCGGGGGTGGAGTGGAATTTCAGACTGAACCCACAACTATCAGCCTCCTCGAGGTCCCCAAGGTCCCAGCTGACTTCCTCACACTTTTCACGCTGCTTCTCAATTGTAATCCTCTGTTCCCAGACAGATTTGGAAAAACCTGGCTCAAGCTGGTACTGGGTGAGCCTCTGAGGGCTCCACAGAGCCCCACCTGGGTCGGTGGTGCCTGCCTTCAGGGAGGGGGCCATTCTATTGTCCCTTCAATGACATGGCCTTGGCCATCTGGTGGCCTAACAGTGATGGGATTTATCTCACTTGATTTGCCCTGCTCTCGGATGGGCGTTTGCTGAGCAACAAAGCTTAATGAAAAGGGAGGAAGGAAGGACAGCCCCATCTGTCCTAGGTTCCTTGGGTGTCATGAGGACCAGCTATGCTTCCATGGGCATCAGCTGCCCTATGGAGGAATGGTAACTTCAAAATACTGAGCAGAACGAGAAAAAGCCCAAGAGGCATCGGAATACAATGGCAAGTCCAGGATTGAGCTAGAGAACTCCCATTCAACCCCAACAAGACTTTCTAGTTGAATTTCAGTTTCCTCATCTCTCAAATGGACACAATGCAGAGATGATACTTCATGAACCAGCAAGGTGTCATTGTTATTATTTGCTATCATGGGGAATCTCAAGATATGAGTTGCTTAGCAAGGAGGAGGCTCTCACTCAAATTTAGAAACATTTTTCTCAGACAGAAAATGCCCTTTGCACTTCCCCCAGGCTGGGCCCCACCCTATTATCTTCCATGATCACCACCATCTACAGCAGGATTCAAAGACAGGTTTCTCACTTTGTTTAGCACACAGCTCTTGCATGGACGCCAATGAAATGTGATGGCTGGACAGCCAAAGACCTCCAGTGGGCTGAGCAAATTGTCTACAGAAAGATCTGGGCAAGAAATGAACACGATCAGAGAGGGAGGAGGGCTCGTGATCCGCACCAGTGGGAGGAACACTTCCACAAGGTTCAGCATGACACTATGGCGGGATTGCAAGGATGTGAGCTGTAGGCGTTTGAAGTCACATGACCATGGGCTTCTGTTCCTAACAAACCAAGAGACTGTATTCAAGCCCACACAGCAGATCCTGCCTCCCAGGTCCTGGGCCAGGGCCTGTTTGTGCACACTCAGGGTAGCAGATGAGAGCACCAAGGCTCAGTCAACAGTTGACAATTGGGGAATCTGGAAGGCAAACCAAGGATTTTTCTGGTTCTAGGCTAATCCTGGAAATCCCATATTGAGTTATTCAAACCAGCACAGAAATGACTATAATAATGCCTTGTTGACTGGGGGAAGGGGAAGGGGAGAACTGATATCATGGGAGTCAGGTAAGTCCTTAAATATAGGATATCCTTCCCTGACCTAGTAAGCAGAGCACACTGCAGAGTGGCATTGTAGAGAGAACTCTTGGGCTTTCTGGACACGATAGAGGAGTGAGAAGGGCAAGGAAAAAGAAGTTGCTCATAATTTTCAAACACCAAGAAAGAATAATGTCAAAAAGAAAATCAGCTTTAAAAAACCTAAGAAAATAAATCAACCAAAATAAAATTAAAATAAAAGTTAAAAAGACTGCCAATACAATTTTTAAAATATGTGAAAAACTTAAGGTATCAAAAGCAAACATGCAAAATATCCCCATATCTCAGCCAAAGTTCTCAAGACTAGTCAGAAAATATCAAAATCAATTGAAGGGTTTGTAGAAAGGCTAAAAAAAAACTGGAATTAACCCCAGAATTAAAAGCTACCTGAAACAGAATGGAAAGAAATAAGCAATAAGAGAAAATCCAATAAAAAGGATCAACAAAATTAACAACTGACTTCCTACGGTAGAAACCAGCATGACAGCCAAGGCAGGGCATGGGAAGAAAAGGAGATGCTGAAAATCACCCCAAAGCAACCAGAAGGAAAGAACATAAAGCAGCATTCACAGCAGGAAGCCTCGAGGGGTAGGACCCACCCCACACAGTCCAGCAAAGCACACAGGCAGCACTCAGCAGGTGCTTATTAAATGTTTAACAAAGAATCAAACCGGAGAAAAATCGAAACAGATATCTCCCAACTTCCCAGAAAATTAAGGACAGAGTCTGAATAAGAAATTGTCAAAGAAAATTTCCCAGAACCTGCAAAAACAGGCTGTAACTTACAAACAGAATTCTCAGGACCTGAATAACAGAGGACGGGAGATTGAATATACCTAGACATAGCACCTGAATGGAGGAGGGGGGGAGAAGAAGGGAGACAAAGTAATCTCCAATGAAAAACTTCCATTTTTGATAAAGAAAAAGTCCAAATAAAAGAAAACATGCCTGCTTATGAGTAGAAGGCAGAGAAACTTTGTTTAGAGTAGTTGGTCAAGTTTGGGTTAAAAAGTAAAAATAATTTTAAAAAAGACATTTTATTCCTTTCCATGAAAAGGAAGGAAAGACCAGCCCCACAACTAGATAGTAAAAGAGCTGTATTTTCCGACCCCCAAACTGGAAAAATGAACAATACATTTGTCCTAAGGAGAGAGGAGTGTTTTCAAAGAAATAGAAGACATTATTTAGGGACAAAAATAAATGGATTTGATTGTACATAGACAAAAAATGAAATCGCATGACAAGACACATTACCTCTCTAAAATGGCAGGCAAATCTTCATTTTCCTTAAGGAAAAATTAGTGGTAGCAAATATATCAGCTAAAGCTAATGAACAGATAACCATCAGATGAACACTCCTCAGTGGTCAAAGAATACAAATAAGAGAATTTTTGGAGAAAACAAAATTTGTTACTATGTAAAAAAGACACTCAAATTTCTTAATAAGTAGAGAAATGCAAACCAAGATAATCTCAACGTAGCACAACAGAAAAAAGGCAAAATAAATTTGAGAAATTTTAACATTAGCAAGGCTGTAAGGAAAATGGTTGCTCAATACATTATTGGTGGAACTGCAGACTCATGCAGATAACTTAGAAATCAATCCAACAACAATAGAAGTCACAAAACTGATTGTACCTTTTAATCAAGGGATAACCACATAGGACTTTACATTAAAACATTGCAAAACGGAATTATCAGTAGATAAATCTTCACAGCCATACAAAATACTCAGTCATAATGTATTTATAAAAGAAAAAACAAACAACCACCCACCAACACCTGGAAACAACTTTTACGTCCAATTATTGGAGAATAACTGGATATGTTAGCATGTAGTAAAGTAATGAAATAATGTTGTAAATGCCATTAAAAAGACTAAGACAGAAAAATGGTGAGAGACCTGCATGAAGTGGCGGAGAGACCAGCAGAAGCAGAACTGCACCCATGAGGACCACAGCAAAGAAACAACAGCCCAAGGTAGGGACAGGGATGTAGGGCAAACGCAAACCTGTGTTTGTTTTCTGTTAATTTGTATGGTTGTGCGTAGTAAGTGACCTCACTCCTCCCCAGACCAGTGCGTGGGTGGGCATGGGCTCGAAGGCGCTTCCTCTCCTCTACCTCTCCACTCCTCTCCACTCCTCTCCTCTCCTCCTTATTCTCCCCCTTTCTTCTCTCTCTGTTCTCTTCTTTCCTCTCCCCTCCTTCTCCTCTCCTTTTCTTCTCTCTCTCCTTTCTCTTCTTTCATCTTCT